CCTTCAGCTGCTTAGAGTTGCACCGACCTAGAACTTCCTGTGGTGAAGGTCATGCTCTGAATCAGCATTCCCAACACTTTTCCACAAAGTGACTGAACACTTGAAAGATAGTTATAACTATGAATACAATTAAACTGGTGTTGAACACGATTTCATTTTAGTTTATTTAAATGTTGTTGTCGTCAGGTGCCATCGAGTTGGTACTGACATAACAACCCTATGCACAACAGAAACACGGCCTAGTCCTACGCCAACCTCACAATCATTGTTATGTTTGAGCCCACTGCTGCTGTCACTGTGCCGATCCATCGCATTAGGGGTCTTCTTCTTTTTCTCGCACCTTCCACTTTACCAAAATGATATCCTATTCTAGGGACTGGTCCCTCCTGATAATATGTCCAAAGTACCAGAGACAAAGTCTCATCACCTTTGCGTCTAAGGAGCACAGTGGCTTCTTCCACGAAGGATGTGTTTGTTCTTCTGGCGGTCCATGGTATCTTCAGTTTACTTCTCAAAATCAATGAAAATGCATGCATTCTTTTAAGGTCTTCCTTATTCATTGTCCAACTTTCACATGCATATGAGATGATTAAAAATACCACGTCTCAGATCAAGACTGTCTTATTCCTCAATGTGGTATCTTTGCTTTTTAACATTTTAAAGATGCTTGGTGTGGCTGATTCACATAATGTGATATTTATCTAAATTTCTTACTGCTGCTTCCATGAGCATTGATTGTGAATCCAAACAAAACGAAATCTTTGGAGACTTTGATCTTCTCTCCAATCATCAGGACAAACAGGTGACCAATAAATCCTCTGGTCAAATTTGGAAAGAGGCAATTAGAAATTGAAAACATAAATGCAAAAAATTTCCCACAAGAGTTTCATTTGAAGATGCAGATAGGTCTCTTGTGATACAATAGTGAATAATTGTTATCAGGACTGATTGAGAGTGTTGGAAATGTAAAGGTAGACATTTGGTAGCAAAATGAGGGGAGTGATTGACTTTGCAGTCTAGGAGTGGAAGTCCCTGGGACCATCAAGGTAGAAGGGTGGAGAGCGGGACCCTACCCAGAGAAGCAGTGATGCCTGAGATGGAGGTAGAGACCATGACTTGGAGAGATGGAGAGTCTGGGGACTTTACACCCAGAGAAGGAGAGGGGCTGTGTGCTGATGACCGGGGGCAGGCTTGCAGGGTATACCCTTTAGTTGGTTGATGATGCATGGAGGGGATTGTAACCATGGCAATGAAATGATATACGATAGGATGAATGCAAAGCTAATGTTCTCCCATGTAAAGTATCACATAATTCAACATAAAACGTTAAAAAAAAAAAAAGAGTTCCATATGAGTCCTGGTGTGGCACTAAAGGTTAAGCACTGGACTGCTAACTGCTAAGTTGGTGGTTCAAGCCCATCTGCTTGCTATTCCTTGGAAATTCTATCCAGGGTTGCTGTGAGTTGGAACGGATTCCACAGTGCTTAATAACAGTAACAATGGTGTCATGGGTAAGCATTTGGTTTCTAACCAAAAGGTCAGTGGTTTCAACCCTCCCAGTGACTCTGTGGGAAACAGACTCAGTAATAAGTTCCCATAAAGATGACAGTCAAGAAAGACCTATGGGCAGCTCTACTCTATCACATGGGGTCATCATGAGTCAGAATCAACTGGACAGCACCCAATAAAAGCATGATGCAATTCTATAAAAGTAGACACACACAGGACTGGAGTGCATATATTTCCTCTACATATATTTCATTGATTAAAAAAAAAAAAACGGGGGGACAAAACGTTATCCAAAAACATGATTTTGAGGAGAAAGTCCCAAATTCATTCAGTGGAATGCTAGCTAATAGCTGTGTGTATACTAATTTAGCAGCTTCCACCAAAATTATACTAAATTTAACTGGAGACACCTTTGATAGCATGCACCCCATTCTCTGCATCACTGAGTCACTAAAAATGAGGGAAGAACATTAACTAGTTAAAGCAGACTACACGGAGATGCAATACAATCCCTGAGTCACCATCTGACCCAAGCAAGCCAGGAGTGTCTGCCAGTGGGCAGCTTCCTGGAGAAGGGTATTTATAGAACAGGGGCTTCCTCCCATGTGTCTTCCTGCATGAAGATTTGATTATCATGTTATTGACTGAGCAGCTAGGCTGAATAGAAGCCTGGGATTCTAAAAACTCAGTATGTCTAAATATTGAGAGTGACGGAAGCTGAAACAAAGGCTTTCCTCGCTTCGTAGCGCCTCTTTCAGAACACTGATCTGGTGCTGTTCTTGGTGTCTCACATCTTTGTCTTCCTCCTCTGAACTTGCAGAGCGTAGACACCCGTGTAATTGCACCCTCAAATCCTCTCACAGTAGCTGCCTTATTGTGAGTACTTCACTGACAAAGGGTTGGGAAATGAAATGGTCTCAATGAGTAACTAACCCTAACTTCTATTGAATCCCATTCTCTACAACAGGGGACACAAAGGGGAAGATATGGCCAGCAAGAGACTTCAATGGTCAGAAGCAGGGCTTTGAAGGCAGGCAGTGTGGCTCTGCCAACTCAGCATGTGCAGACCATGGGCAAGGCTGGGTCTTGGCCTCATCTGTAAAATGGTTATAATGATAATAACCACCACAAAGCTGGTGACAACAACACATGAGAGGATGTATATGAAGCCTGTTCAGTTGTAACCAACCCAAACAAAGTGCTTAATGTACCAGAGCTATTATAGTGTTGGACTTTTGGTATGTACCTCAGGATAAGCACTGGACTGTGAACCACAAGGTTGGCAGTTCAATCCCACCAGACACTCCTTAGAAACCCTGTACAGGGTTGCTACGAGCCAGAACCAACTCAATCTTACCATCAACAACATTATAGTGTTATTGTCAAACATTAAAAAGTTAATAGCAGATTCCCTTCTTATTTTGTCATCAATGGTGGTGGTGTTTAGTGCCGTCAAGTTGGGTCCAACTCATAGTGACGCTGGATAGGGTTTCTGAGGAGTGGCTGGTGAGCTTGAACTGCTGACCTTGTGGTTAGCAGTCCAGTGCATATTCTACAGGGCCACAATAGAACTCCAAAACAAATTAGAATCTCACGTTTTCCTAGACTAGACTTCACATACATGTGATAGCTAGACAATGAATAAGGAAGACCAAAGAAGAATTGATGCCTTTGAATTATGGTGTTGGTGGAGAATACTAAATGGACTTCCAGAAGAATAGAAAAATCTGTCTTGGAAGAGGTACAGCCAGAATGCTCCTAGAAGCAAGGATGGCGAGACTCTGTCTCACGTACTTTTGAAATGTCAACTCGAGGGATCAATCCCTGGAGAAGGATATCATTACTGATAAAATCAAGGGTCAGCAAAAAAGGAGGAAGTGCATCAGTGAGATGAATGGACACGGGGCTACAACAATGGCTTCAGACACGGCACCAATTGTGAGGCGAGCCCTGGGCCTGGAAGTAGTTAGTTATGTCAGACAAAATCCCTGTTGTTAGGAGTCAGTTCTGACTCAAAGCAACCCTGGATAGGGTTTCCAGGGAGTGGCTGGTGGGTTTGAATCACTGACCTTGAGGGTAGCAGTCCAGTGCTGAGCCTACAGCACCATACCAGGACTCCATGTCATAAGAGAGTTGCTTGAACTGACTTGATGGCACTTCACAACAACAACAAGACCTTTCACAGTAACTTCTCTATAGAGAAAAAACACTGAATATATTCAAAATCAGCCTCAGAATTACTATGTCCACTCAGTGTTAGCTGACACACAGTATTCAAAAGACATTACACTTCATGTCACCTTCATAAGGAACAACTAAAGTAAGGAACCTGGGTAAAGAAGAGCATTGTGGGGCAGCTCTGACAGAGTTAGAATAAGAGCTTTTGCAACCTTCCAACTCTCCTCACTGCCATAAAGAACTTGCAAATCATTTCAGTTTTCATTCACTTGGTCATTCAGATATTTATTGTGCCTATAGTAATATAGATGAATAAATCTACATTATAGATTAATAATAATATATATTTATTAATACATTTATATATTTATTAATAGATCTATATTATTAATATATAGCCTATAATATATCCAAGCACTGTTCTTGATAGTACTGATATACAAAGAATAGTACAGACAAAAGTCCCTGCCTTCAGAAAGCCATCACTGCAACATAAAGCCAAGTCTATCGAAAAGAAAACATCTACTTAGTAAATCCCTCTTGTATGTCAAAGAGCATATTGCATCATTCAGTCATATCACACTTATATATTACTAATGAAGACTCTCATATTGTTCTTAACTTCCATCCCTCACAATGCTCATCTGTAACAGAAACTGAATGGAATATTCCTGTGAGGTATGAGATCGACCTTACAAGTATCATTAAAGCTCAGCACACAATTAAAATAATTAGCAGCTCCTTTTTACAACTAAACTGAAGAACAATGACTCACATTGTTAACCCGAAGTATATTGGAACTATGGTATCATTCTTGTTACTGTGGACTAAATCTCCCTCCTAGGAGTCTTGGTGTGGCACTGTATAATAGGCACCTACTTCTGCCCACAAGTCGACAGTTCAAACACACCAGCTGCTTCTCAGAAACTCTGAGTCAGAACTGACTCGATGGCACTTAACAATAACAACAAAAGTGCTACTCAACAGTTTCACTTTCTTCCTGATGGAAAACTGAAGCAAAGGGAGGAAAATGAAGACAGAAAGGATTTTCTCTCAGGAATGGAATTTGCTGGAATGTGAAATCTCACAGCTAACTGCAAAGAGGACTCAATTTAGGAAGAAATAGGGAGGACTTGAAAGGCGTTGAAAGTGATGTCTATGAGCAAAGCATGAACTGAAATGGGGCAGAATGCAGGGGGAAGGAGTGGGACTGATTGAAACACACTGGGTGCTTCTGTCTTGCTGAAGTGAAAGGCAGACTGACCGCTTTGACACTCCTCATGCATGGCTCTGACCCAACGGGGTTCTTTTACCTGGCTGCCATGAGATCCAGGAGATGCTGCCACCTGTCGTTGACCTTCATTAGCTTGTACTCAATCTCCGATGCTTTGCTTTCATTGCTTGCTTTAGCCAGCCGTTCCCCCATTTGCTGCAGCTGTAGTTTGTTCTCTTGTGCAACAGCAATTTCCTCTTGATAATCCTACATAATAAATAGCAATCAGAGAGGTCAGAAAGCATCCTCAAAATGCAGTCAACTCGGCTCTACCAGAAACACAGTAATTATAGTTTTCTACTGCCTGGAAATAGTTTGGACTTGAGAAACACCGTGTGAATATCAGATACTCACCATGTGAGTATCATGTGTGAAAGATTCAGTACTACTTTTTGTTTTCAGTATGTATGCAGAGACAGGATTGAATATTTGAATGTGTTATTAGATGCTTTCAAGTCAGTTCTGACACATAGTGACCTTGTTGTTAAGTGCCATCGAGTCGGTTCCAACCCATAGCCACCCTGCATAGGGTTCCCAAGAAGCAGGTGGTAAGCTTGAACCACCGACCTTGCAGTTCAAACCTACTTTGCTATCCAGCGCATTAACTCACAGGGCCACGCCAGGACTTCCATAGTGACCCTAGATACAATAAAACGAAATACGGTCTGGTCCTGTGTCATCCAATCACTGCAGCTACTGTATCAGTACATCTTGCTGAGGGTCTTCCTTTGTTTCGCTGACCCTCTACTTTCCCAAGCATGATGTCTTTCTCTAGGGATGGTCCCTCCTGATAGCATGTCCACAGTACATTAGACAAAGTCTCCACATCTATGCTTCTAAGGAGCATTCTGTCATACTTCTTCCAAGACAAATTTGTTTCTTTCTGGCAGCCCATGGTAGGTCCAATACTCTTCATCAACACCATAATTCAAAGGCATCAATTCTTCTTTCCTCTTCCGTATTCACTCTCCAGCTTTCACATGAATATGAGGCAACTGAAATTATGCTGGATTGGGTCAGGCACACCGTAGTCCTCAAAGTAATATCTTTGCTTTTAAAATTTTTTAAAGAGGTCTTCTGCAGCAGATTTTCTCAAAGGAATGAATCATCTGGTTTCTTGATTGCTGTTTCCATGGGCATTGGTTGTGGATCCAAGTGTAAAGCAAGCTGTGACAACCTCCACCTTTTCACCGTTCATCATGATGTTTATTGGTCCAGTTGTGAGGATTTTTGTCTCCTTTACATTGAGTTGTAATTCATACTGAAGACTGTAGTTTTTGACCATCAGAACGTATTTCAAGTCCTCTTCACTTTCAGTAAGCTAGGGTGTGTCATCTGCATATTGTAGGTTGTTAATGAGCCTCCCTCCAATCCTAATGTCTCATTTTTTAAATAATCCAACTTCTCAAATCACTTGCTCAGAATACAAACTGACTAGACATGGTAAAAGGATACACCCCTAACACACACCTTTCCTGACTTTAAACCACACAGTATCCCCTTGTTCTGTTTGAAGGACTGCCTCCTGTTCTATGGACAGGTTCCACAGGAGCAAAATGATGCGCTCTGGCATTGCTACTCTATGTAATGGTATCCATACTTTGTTAGGATCAACACTGTTAATAAAATACAGGTAAACATCTTTCCGGTATTATGTGCTTTCAGTCAAGATTCATCTGCCATCAGTGGTGCTATCCCTCAGTCCTCTTCTGATCTGGCTTAAATTTACTCAGCGTAGTGGTTTTAAAGTATTGAAGAGCAAAGATGTCAACTTGAGGATGCGCCTGACCCAAGCCATGGTATTTTCAATAACCTCATATGCATGTGAAACCTAGACAGTGAATAAGGACGACTGTAGAAGAACTGATGCCTTTGAGTTATGGTGTTGCAGGAG